GAACCCAGGACAACGGTGACAACGATTTAAGCAACAGTCACATACTGACAAATTACAGTACTATTACTGAAAGATTAATTCCGCAACTACATAGACTTGAAAAGGAAAACTGGCTATACATTACCTTCTATGCTCAACAACATCACAATTTGGCCAATAATAAAGTCAGTATTTAAGCGCACACACACACATGTAAAATCATATTCTTAGGAAACTTTAAAATCAAACTCTGACCTGCCAATGAATGAGGCTAGATTTCCTGCATTTTTCTATAGTTCCATACTCGGGTCTTCACCTGAAATTCTAAGGTAAAGTTGCTGTATTTCTCTTTTATTAATGTCTACTGAAAATATTAAAATATGAAACTACAGATATAAAACTAAGAACATAAAAGAGAACTCTAAATTTAAATTTAATGTAACTTAACTTTAATGTAATTAAAAATAGTCCCAGAAAAAGTGATAAAGTACAAAGTTACAGAAATTTTTATTTATGCAGATCTCAATTTAAATGACTTAGAACATACAAAATATTAATCATTACTCAATGATCAGTACTCTTGGCGTATACGCAGAGATGAAAGGAGAACTGAGTTTTCTAGTGATTTTCTTTTGGTAGGTATGAATACAAACTTCATATAATTCATTTAAATTAATCTGCAGTCATCTGAACTGATTTGATATAACTTTCTGTTATAAAAAAAAATTTAGGAGAATGAGTCTGGAAGAGAACAATCCTCACAAAGAAGCAATGGCAATATGTATGCTATACAAAGCAGAGTAAAAAAGAGTCCAAACAAAGAGTAAAGTCACAAAAGCTGTAAGTGCTGTGAAATATGAGTGTTGTCATGCCCAGCTGAATACGTTACAGCCTTAAGTTTAATATCTCTTAGACAAGACTTTTCTAACTTTACTCGTTAACTATCAATTGAGAAAAAGCTGTTCAAGTTTTCAAATTTGAAACCCTTAGAAGTTATGCAAGTTTTATGTCAAATTTCATTTCAACGACTATCCATGTTTTCATATATTGCAGGTAATGACTTCTGCATAGAATTAATTAACAGTATAAGCCACACAAAGCTTTTTATAACACCCCTGCATACTTAAGAATGTATTAATCTTTAGTTTCTGCTTTAACATAATCGAACACCACAGATAGATGTCTCTAAAACAGTTTTTGCAGTTAAATGATCTAGTAAAGGATCTTGAAAATCCTTCAAACTGTCATTTCCAATTTGCCACTCTGCTTCAATTCTCTTTATTTTCTAACTCATCTGTGAAAGAAAAAAAAAACCTTAAGAATACAACGATATTTCAGATTTACATAGCAAGTATAAAAAAATGCAGTTAACAGCTCACTTGAGTTTTTATTACATTTATGTCTACATAAAATTGAAAAACTCTACATAAATGAGAAAGTAGCTGAAGGGCAAAATCAAACTGTTGTCTTTATTAGATGCAAGTCTAATGTCTTTCAGTTTAAGTATTTATAGGTGCCACAGTCAATCAGATTTCAATGGAAAGCAAAATAAAAGCATTCATGCACAAAAGGCATGTGTGGTAATTGTGATGTGCAGACAAGATAATGGAAAATATTCTGGCTTTCCTTTAATTTTGTGTATCAGCTGCTGCCTTGACTTACAACAACCTATCCCATCTAATGCATTTATTACCTTAATTATTCAGAAGCATTCAATTAATTTAGTAGGAACTTGCTCATCAGAGCTAACCTTGAAATAAACTACTTCTTTTTCTTCAGATGTTGTCCTCATTCAAAAATACGATTAAAAATATCTTCAAAACCAATGTAATTAAGTATGATGGCCTCATTTACACTATGCTGTATTAATGTTCACTATTAAGTGACTTGCAGTAATGCAGCTTACTTTACTTTTTCAACTTTTTAAGATACCTTACTATAATGCTCAGACTGTGTTTTAACAGGCAACAGTTGCAAAGTAGAAGATCACAGAGGCCTTAACCTCCACAGCACAGAAATACTCAGAAATGGTAGTTTCCCATAAAAAAAAAAAAAAAAAAAGAAAAAGAAAAAGTTTTAAGTCAAATTAAGTCTACCATCTTCATTCTTAAGAACTATAGCATCATCTTCCACACTCCATTCTAAGCTATCAGGTGAGCCAAAAATATAAAAAGAACTTACAGAAAAACATCACAAAAGACACTGAAGTCAAATACTAAAATCTTAGCAAATGTCAGTGAGGGTTGTCTGTGAAACTAACTCACCTATCTTATATTGCTGTTACAATAAATATCTCTGTATGAGCATTTAGTTTTTCCCCAGAAATCCAGCTTCATTAACTGAACAGAATGGAACAATTAGATCTTTATAACTTCTACTAACATTAGTATATAATTAATAGCAGTAGCAGTCAACTCACTTCCATGCAGATGTGTACAGATCAAGGCAGATTGACATGACAGGGCAGTTTCTTCAAATATAGCAATCAGTAAGGATCAAGGAAAATGAGGTACATGTGTGCCAGTGTACCTGAAGCCAGATCTCTTTCTCTCCTACCTTCTTACAACATTTCTGGACCTAAGAACTGTTACAATGGGTGAGACTGATTTCATAAGCCCCGTTTTGTCTACTGTCCAATTCTGACTCTGGCATTTTGACATTAAGACACCGTCCCCCCAGTGTAACCTACTGACTTCTGAGAAACAGTGATTTTGGAGATTTCCACTTCTCCCCATGCTTGATGCCCTATTCCTGTTACTGGATTAGGCCACCAGTATAAGTGCTAAGAGGCCTGAGCACCTTCAGACCACAGTTTTCTAACATAAGACAGTCTTAAAACTATATAAATTTACACCAAGTGTCTTCAAAAGCTCCCATGTAGCAAAGCAGGTATCTCCAAAAGGTACCCACTTCCTGAATTTGTATACGTTACTCCAGTATCTGTGAAAATTTGGTTATACAAAGAAAAATCTGCATGTATGTTTTAGCCTGCAGCAAATAGTGCCATGTCTCAAAGCCACTTAATTTATAGAAATGAGTAAACAAGAGCTGCTGAAACTGCCCATTCTCTTCCTTCTCTCTCACAAAAAAAAAGTTTTGATACACTCATTACATAACATTTTTAACCTCAATAGCATTGAAATACTGCACAGCTATAATAAATCAACATGAAACCTACAATAAATGACAGAGCAACCACATGAAACAGAAAGTCTATCTATCCAAAGACCTTGTTTTCAGAATATGTCAAAAGTGCACATACAGAAAAGTGTTCAAATACAGCATGTAATCGATCTTTGCTTCCTCAGACTAATCTAGTACCAACAAACTGGTGCTCCAAGACTTCCAAAGCTAGATGCAGTTCCTATGCTCCTCTAAAAGATTTCTTTGCCAGTGTTAACCCATCTCTCCCTTAATATATGCAAAATTTTAAAACCCACTGTCGAATTCATACTGTGAGAGAAACCATTGTCTTCTGTTTGTGTTGACCCAGCTAAGACTCTTCATTCATAGAGTTTCTAGTTGTACCAGAAAATAACAACAGAGTGAATAACAAGTATTTAATCAGCTTTTCCATGCCAGTTGTCCCAGGTCTCTATCATATCCTCTTCCTTTTATTTGACACTCTTTCAGATTTAAAAGTTAGAACTAACTAACAATTACTAAAAGGCAAATTTTTCTGCTGCCCTGGTGTACCTGTCTGAACCTTTTCCAATTTTCTATTCCTTTTACACTTTGCTCATTTCCTGGAAATCTTAAAAATAATTACTGAATTATCTTCTCATAAGTCAGTGTCACTTGCCCAGTCTACTACATTATCAATCAGTGAAAGCCAAAAGCTTCAAGGTAGGTGTATGAAGAGTTCTATAGTTCACAAGCTGGAAAAATTATCTGGAAAGCAAAAAAAGTTAGTGACAATGTTCCCAAATGAAACTATGGGAAAAATTAGGAATAGTAAGTGTAATCATCCAGGTTGAAATCTGTCTGAGACACACTTTTAAGACTGCCAGTCCACAGGCCTTTACTTTTACATCTCAGTGATACATGCCATCTTACTGTTCTCAGCAGTAATTTAAAAATAGCTCAGAAAAAGTCACGCAACTCTATGCGGAGAACATAGATCTAAAAATAAATGTATTAAAAAAAAAATAAATCACAATTTGGTCCTTATACAGGATTATCTAATTATCAATTTTCAGTAGCATTTCTTATACAATATGGTCCATCTCAGGCTATAAAACATGAGCTGCCAGGCCCAGAAAAATGCTTAGTTATTCCTATGTTCATAAACTGCACTCTTCATCTAGCGTTATTGAAAATAAAACTAATTACCATGTGAGAAGAATTCTTCTACCGACTAGCGATTTTTATCCTCTAGATCCTAACCTTACGAAAATATCCTCTGCTCTTTCTCTGTAGCTACTCCCTAAACCTCTGGAGGGCAAGAGCCATCACATGCTTTCGCTAAAGTAGATTTTGATGCCTGCTCACTGGCCAGCATGCTGCTACCAAATCAGATTTAGCATTGGTACATTTTCTGTCCTTCCCCCTTCCCAGAGCTACTAACCAGGTTTCCACCCTATACCCAGCCATTAGCTTTCAAGAAACGTCTAGAGACTCAACTGTCTTCAACATATCTACCTTTGTGTCAAATCTGGCTAAGAACTGAAGATTCAGAAGTTACTGAGGAAAAGAAGGTATGACAAGAAAAAGGCCACAGAGGAGACGAAGATGCTAGCAATGAGAATCTAATGAACAAGAAAACACTAAGCCTCATTTTCCCAAGCTTCATCAAACTAAAAATGACAGAACAAAATAAAGTTCTAAGAGGAAAAAAAGACTATTTTGTCTCTTAAGAATTCTTGAGAGTACTAGAAAGTGTTTGTGTTTGGAATCATATCACAGACAGATAAAAATCACACAACATTAAGTAACAAAACACAGCAGGCGAGTCAAGGACAGTGCTTTACTGGAGTTTTGTCCTTCAAACATCTTACATACAGAGATATTGAAAATATTACCTTGAGCTAGTCTTTCAAGACGCTTCCCATGCTCTGGAGGAACAGCATACCTAAAATTCATATAAAGAAAAAGATTAAATGCTTAAAGACATAATTACTACAAAAGCCTTGATTCATGTATAATAACTGTCTAAAAATACAGAAGCCAAAGAGATTAAAGACTTAAAAATTACACACAAAAAATACACCAATTTCTGAGGAAAAAAGATATTTTTTTTAGGAAAAAAAAAACATTATACTATGTAGTTAAAGAAGCCTATTTCCACTATTTAAAAAAACGTATTTTGACAATATTTGACAGGATTACACTACTCCAGTTAAATATATACACATACTTTCTTTTTCCAAATTAAATAAAAACACACAAAATAAGTCTGATTTATACAAATTTAATCTCTTTGAATTTTACTGTGCTTTACAAAACACAAGAATTCAACAGAAAAATAAAGCATTAAAAACACCTCTTTTTTTTCCTATAGCTACCACTGTGGAATAAAAGGGTTATTTGTCTTCATGAAATCATTACAACTAGAGTTAAAAAGCCATTTAAGAAATACGCTTTCTTTACTTACCAGTATTACAGAAATGCAAAACTGGTCAACTGAGCTCTCAGTAAGTCTCTTGGAAAGGTAAGACAGGCCAGGATTTAATGGGCTCTAACTATTTATTTAGCTAATCTAAATTACTAAGCAATAAGTCATTTAATGCAAGTTGGTACTTCTCATCATTGTCTTCATTAGACATCTCTATTTGACAGTTGCCCATTCAAAATGCTTACTCCAACTCCATTACGAAGCATACAGTTTATTCCATCTCTAGTATGTAGAACCTTAAGAGTTTAACTTAGGGCTCTGAAATACTTCCTAGGATGAACAGCCTAGAAGTTAAGCATGATATCACAGATCATTATTTTAGGTTCTTTGCTGAGACCGGTTTTCATAGAACAAGTACCTACAACTGATCTGCAGTTGCTTCTCAATTTATAATAATGAACATATTATTTAAGCAATTACAACATCACTTCACAGTATCTTCTTCAGGATCTAATAATAAAAAACAAAGCAGTGCCACATCATCAAATGGATCAGCTCTAATTTCTGAAAGATCAGGAAAACAAGAAAAATTAAAAAAAGAGAATAAATATATAAATGAGAATTTTCATATTAGAAGTAGACAAACCTTCTTACAAAGACAGAATTGAAACAAAAAGCTTTCAGCCCTGAGCTGAAAGTCATTCAAAAATAATGCAACAAATACCTACACTTTTTTCACAGTGACATCCCTGAAAGATCAGGGAAGAAGATCTCATCTGTTTTTTTTTGTTCCACTCTCTGAAATGTTCATTTGAGCTTTAACAAGAAAAATAGCCAAGTAGCCAGAAAACATGTCACAAACAAATCAGAATTTCAACAATAACTTCACAGTAGAATAACCTAAACTATAATGTTAATAAATTAAATAAATACAATTGTATGTAGTTAAAATGTTTTCACATTATTGTGAATGTCAACTGAGAGACTAACAATACACTGAAAATTGTTGCCATTTTTAATGGAATATATTAATTCAATCCAAACTTTGATAATTCAGCACTGAATTTTCTAACTTCAAATTAAAGAACTGCCTCGTTTTTAAGATACTGATATCAGAATATTTATTTAGAAAAAATAATTGCAGTATAACTAAGTATTACAGTTGTGCTTTCTGACACCAAATTTAATGTATGATCTTTAAAAGCATCCTACATAATCTGATGTTGTTGGTAAAAATAAACAGTGATCCTATTTTTATCTGTATCTGAAGTAAGCCTTTCATTTCTCTTTAATCCATGGCACAGATTTGATGTGTACTTCTGATTGTCTCTATTCTGCCTTTAATTAAATAGAGAAACACAACTTCATGCTGGCCATGACTAATACCCACTTAGCATTAAGTAGTGTTTAAATAATCTTTTTAAAAAATAACCAGAAAACCTTAGCCAACATTCTTCCTAATGCAGTTTCAAGCAGAATTGCTTCAGAGTTTAAAAAGTTTTCACCAAGACCTATACAAACTATAAAAATTAAGTATTCTTCAACCATCAGCATACATTCTAATCCTGGAAAAAAAGCTTCTATCACCAAGTTTGTTCCGATATGAACATCCTGGTTTAAGGACATATTCAAGATGGAAATCAAATCAAACTCCTCACTCAGGAAAACTATGTCAGAAAAAGGGAAAAGTACAATTTGTCTTCATTGACTGCAAAGAATGCCAAAATCAAATAGCTGCAACACGCTCTGTGAATTGCACAGCTGTCATTGTAAAACAACCAAGGATATCCCATCAGAATGAGTCTCCTAGTTTAGTTTGCATGTTTCCATAGAAATGAATTTTACTTTCACAGCAAGAAAAGCAGTGGAGCTAAATTACAATAATTGATATACAAATATGAAGATTTCAGAATTGGTTTTCTTTTTCCAAGGACCTCTTAACATCATTCCCAAGATGAAAAATGCAGGTCATATCAGCATCCTAGAATGATGACTATGTGATGACAAGTCCCTAGTTCACAATAACAGAAAATAAAACCAGCACTATTAAAAAAAAAAAAAGTATCAGGTTAACTAATAAAAAAGATTTCATACCAGTCAATACAAGGCTTTATGAGTCAGCATAAAATTCTATTAACTGTCAGTCATACTCTGACTTTCACAGCTGATCTGCTTTGAATTCCTCTAATGTCCAGGATGAAAAAAGAGAAGGAGAAAAAAAAAGCTCCTGAAGTTAAACAGATGCTTTTTTTTGACCTGCAAAGCATTTACAGTTATAAATAAATTTTAAAAACTAATTTTAATAAAATTAAAATAAATTTAAAGGCATGGATGAATATAAAATCAAAGTCATCAAGCTTGCATGGTAAAACGTATTAAAAGAACACAAAAAAAATCACAGTTATAACACTACCAGAACAAGAAGTAAAATAGGTGTTGTCGTGGTTTAAACCCAGTCAGCCACACAGTTTCTATTCCCTCCTTCCCCACCTTTCTTTGCTTCCCCCGCCCTACTCCCCGCTCCCAGAGGGATGGGGAGGAGAATCGAAAGAATGTAACTCCCATGGGTTGAGATAAGAACAGTTTAGTAACTAAGGTATAACACAAATCACTGCTGCTACCAGCAATAATTATAATGATAAGGGAAATAACAAGGGAAGAGAATATGATATCACCTGCCAAAACAAGCTCGACTGAGAAAAGAGTGCCCTTCCAGGTAACTCCCAGTTACCTCCCCCGAGCATGACATGCTGTGGTATGGAATACATCTTTGGCTAGTTTGGGTCAGGTGTCCTGACAGACATGTCCTGCAGAGCATGAGACTCACAAAGCCCTATGGCCAGTCCAAACATCTGAGCAGTAACCAGAAACATCAGTGTTATCAGCTCTGTTCCCAGGCCAGAAGTCAAAACACAGCCCTGCACCAGCTACTAAGAAGGAGAAAAAAAATGACTGCTGCTGCTGAACCCAGGACAGTATCTACCCCTTATTCCATACCATTCACATCATGCTCAGATCCCACATTTTCGATATACCATCACTCTTACATATAAGCATTCACTTACACAGAGAAAAAAAGATCATTTCTTAGTGCATGGACATGAAGACATCTAGTTGGTGGGCTGTAAAAGTGCTACATAGCAGGCAACAGCATACAATTGAGTTCATTGGCTGTCTTCGCCTAAAATCAAATCCCCTTGAGGTACACATCCGACTTCCCCATCTTCCCACATTACCCACCAAGTATATCCGGGTCCCTGAGCAAAAGCAATCCCACGAGTGGGTTTGCCTTTACCTGAAGGAGGAATAACCCAGGCTGTCTCCCCCAGCAAATTCCTCATGTGCACCACAGGAACTTTATCCCTTTCTATAGTATATAAATGTTCTGACTAGGCTGGGCCAGCCCTGTTGGCAGATCCTCTGGTGTTGACCAACCAGGTGGCCTTTGGTGAATGTGTATCCCAATGCTTTAAAGTCCCACCACCCATTGCTCTCAGTGTAGTTTTTAACAGCCCATTGTACCTTTGTATTTTCCCAGAGGCTGGTGCATGGTAGGGAATGTGTTATACCCACTCAGTGCCATGCTCTCTGGCCCAAGTGTCTATAAGGTTATTCCGGAAATGAGTCCCATTGCCTGACTCAGTTCTCTCTGGGGTGCCGTGTCACCACAAAATCTGTTTCTCAAGGCCCAGGACAGTGTTCCAGGCAGTGCTGTGGGCCACAGTGTATGTTTCCAGCCATCCGGTGGTTGCTACCACCATGGTAAGCAATGGCGCTTGCCATTGGCGGGTTGGTGGCAGTGTGATATAATCAATCTGCCAGGCCTCCCCATATTTGTACTTCAACCATCGTCCTCCATACCAAAGAGGCATTAACCATTTGGCTTGTTAAATTGCAGCACGTGTTTCACACTCATGAATAACCTGGGCAAAGTGTCCATTGTTAAGTCCACCCCTCGATCACGAGCCCATCTGTGTGTTGCATCTCTGCCCCGATAGCCTGAAGTGTCATGGGCCCACCAGGCCAAAAATAATTCACTTTTATGTTGCCAATCTAAGTCCACCTGAGCCCCTTCAATCTTAGCAGCTTTATCCACTTGTTGGCTGTTCTGGTGTTCCTCAGCTGCCTGACTCTTGGTTACAGGAGCATCTACATGGCATACCTTCACCACCAGGTTCTGAACCTGGGCAGAGCTATCTTGCCACAGTGCAGCAGCCCAGATGGGTTTACTCTGCATTGCCAGTTGCTCTGCTTCCATTGCTGCAACCACCCCCACAGGGCATTTGCCACCATCCATGAGTCAGTATAGAGAAAGTACTGGCCACTTTTCTCATTCAGCAATGTCCAAAGCCAGCTGGATGGCTTTCACCTCAGCAAACTGACTCGATTCACCTTCTCCTTCAGCAGTTTCTGCAACTTGTCTTTGAGGACTCCATACAGCTGCCTTCCACCTCCGATGCTTTCCCACAATACGGCAGGACCCATCAGTAAACAAGGCATACTGCTTTTCACTTTCTGACAGCTGATTATATGGTGGGGCCTCTTCA